TCAAACAATCCGCCCGCTTCGGCCTCCCAGAGTGCTAGGATTACAGGCGTCAGCCACCGCGCTGTAATTCTTAAATACTTTGAATTCATAGCATCTGAAATTTAGATTTTACTATGGATAGCCAAAGCCATTTGAGTATTCTATACTTTCCTTACTGACTTAAAATGGTTACTGGTATAATATGTCCAAAAATTGATCATAGTTTGGATGTATGGCCACTAAAGTTAACAAAGGAACTTGCACTATTTGAATTAGCTTTATAATTGTTATACCAAGGTGGTTCTTGATAGTTCAGAGTATATGTATTGGGTAAGTTGGATGCCTAAACTCTTGAAATAAGTATCCAGCCAATATAAACAACCAACTAGCTGTCATATGATTATTTTACAAAAATGCCACTATTCTTTCTAAGTGCTTAAATATTTATTCTAATTAGAGTGAGATCTTGGACAGCATAGCATGGGAAAAGGAAAAGACCTATTTTTCAGCATTGGTCTAAACTTACCATGTTTGGAAACTGCTCTTTAGTGTAGTAAATGTGTTATAGTTTTAAAATTCCTAGTTTGTTATCCAGAGTAGAGATGAGAGATAATAAATTCTAAGATAAATCCGTAGAGGTAAAACTTACCAGGAATGATAAAAGTAGTGGCAGAAGTGAAACCAGGGCAATCTGACTAGTAGCAGAAGTGAAATCAGGCCTGCTTTCTCTCTTCTTTATTGGATTGCTTCTGAGTTGAGACCAGATTTTGTAGACAGTCTTAAATACTATTACCAGATGTCACAGTTTTTAGAAAGCTGCATTTTAGGAAGATATACTTGGTAGTATATGTGGTGGAACAGCATGGCAAAGGAATAGAAGGAAGGAGTGGGACCAAGATGGTGAAGAGTCAGAATTAGAATAGTTGAAATGGAATTGTTATATACAATGTTGTTAAAATTAAAAGATGGAAGTGTATTCTGTGTGAGCTTTGCCTTGTTGAAAAAATTGTAAGTATTGTAAAAAAAATACCCCATGTTCTAAGGAAAGAAGAATTCTGAAAATCTCTTTACACAACTTCCTGCACCTGAAAAGAAAAGGTTTGTATGTGCGGAAAGTGTGTTTGGCTGCCTTTCGTGATTTTTGAGAGGGGGCAAAGTTCATATATGTACTCTTAAGTGTAGGCATTTATCTCTTATCCTGATCCAGAAAGGTTTAAGACTTTTAGGAATACTTTAGTCATCTATTAAAAACTAGCAAGGGAAGAGTAAGGATAGGGATACAAAACAGAGCAGGAAATTAGGGTGCTAAACTACTTCTTAAGGAAATACAGTGATTTTTGTAGAGTAGAGAACTTCTGAGAATTCAGGCCTTATCCTAAAGGTAAATACAAATTATGTTCATGAGATGACAATAAACCAGTTGGCTCAGGGAAAGCATAAGCATTCTTGATAGTGAAGACCAAAAGGAAATTTTAATGAATCATAAATACAGCTCTATGTGTAGTTTGGTTTTTTCTCATTGTTTTACATAAATTGTAGAAGTTTATTTTTCAAAGTAAGATAATGTCTGAAGAAAATTAAATACTGATAAACATGTTTCTAGAAAATGATAGACATGGGCAGATGTCTAATACATTCAAGAATGGGAGGAAGAGCTTTGCATTCTTGGGAATGATAGCTGTCTGGTGTGTGGTTCCAGGAGAGAGTCGGTCAGTGCGTATGTAAAGCAGAATCCTTATTCTTCTGAGGCTTATGTTCCAAATTGCCCAATATTGGAGTGTATATTTTTGTTTTGTTAGAAACAGAACAGCAACAAAAATATTCCTTAAGTTTATCACTGTACTTAATTTCTAATGTTAAAACTAAATGGGAAAACTTGACTTTGTCCATTTGAAAATGTGACTTCTTCCATATAAAATATAACAATAGTTTTAATATTTCCACTTTGGACATGTAAAGCATCTAGCAACCTGGAATTCCTAGTCTAGCCACTTAAGCTAACACTAAACCATTTGTATTGGAGGCACAAATGTCTTATAAATTTCAGAATATGTATTTGTTTCTTATTTGAGTGTGTTTTATCTTTATATGTGTTCTTGAATTAGATATATGTTCTATATGAATATATCCATGCATATATATAACAGATTTTTTATATGTTCTTTCTTGAATTAGATGGAATAAATGTGGTTTTATCGTAATAAAAGTAATACTGAAGCTTGATGATGTGCCTAAATTTTAAATAAAGTAAAAATTTCCAACTTGCATATAATTTATTTCTCCATCAAAATTTTTATGTGGAAACCAACGTAGTCATCAGTATTTTGCCAAATTAGGATGAACAAATGTGCACACTTAGAAATCAGAGCCTGTATCCTAATATTCTGGTGAGATAGTTGTAGTAGACAGGAGCTTTCCAACTGTTGTTTTTTGTGTGACAATGAAAAATCTGAAGATTTGAGTAAGAAAAAAACGGGAAAGATAAGAGCAATCTTAACTCCGCAGAGAGTGGGTACTCATTTTTTTAATGATCCAAACTGAACTGTAAGTGAATTGAACTCCTTCAGAATGGAAAAAATTGCAGAGAAACATATTATTTGCACAAAGTAAAACAAAAGTATGTTTATTACTTGAAGGTACAAAAACATGATTTCTACTTACACTTGACTTGAAAGCTCTCCTTGCTTGAACCAAGTCTAGCCTAGACAGAATGAACTTTACACTTCACTTGTTTTCATTTATGGCTTTGCTCATGTTAAATCATTTATAAAAGCATTCGTAATCCTTGGATAATCATGAAAGATTATAGTTTACTTGGAAAAACTCACACAAAGCAATGGATAACCTAGGAGAATACATTTATGTTAGGATATGTGGTGAGTGTACTTTTTTTTTAATATTTAAATACTTTAATGATTAGTAAGGTGCCATACACTTGAAAATTTGTTGAAAGTAGACCTCATGGTAAGTGCTTTACCACAAAAAAACAAAAGGACACAAGGAAACTTTTGTAGACAATGAATATGGTTATTACCTTAATTGTGGTGATGGAAACACAAGTGTATGCATACTTCCAAACTCATCAAATTGTACATGTTGATTATACAGTTTATTTTGGTATGCCAATGGTACTTCAGTAAAGCTGGGGGAAAAATTTCTGCAAAAAATAATTAAGTAAATTATCTGCAGTCTATTAGTGTACAGTGTGAAGGAGGGCTCTCACGTGGTTAGGCAGTTTGAGGGCCACCTTTTTTAATGTCAGTTTTGCAGAACTCTGATAACTGTCGATTAATGAAAATATGTAGTAACCAAGATGTTATGAATTCAGTTACACTTTACAGCTATGCAGTTTAGATTAAAGGAGCAGGAGAAAGTGATCTGACATCAATTTGTTTCTGCAAGAGATAAGTCTGATTCATATTTGTTCAGTAAATGTTAACATAAAATCTGAATTATAATTGAGACAGTACATAACTAGATCAGGAAACTTTGACTAGATGATATACAGCCAATGACTAGTTAGTAACAAGCAGTATGGGCTTCCTGACACATTGAACAGTCTAGTAGTTGTGGTATAGACCAGAACCCAGTGGATATGTACGGTAAGTGCATCGCAGGGCTTACATGCCTAGCGTTCTTAGACTTGGCATGTTATTAAGTAGATTATCACACTTTAAAGTAGAAAAGTGTATTTAGAACTTGGGGGAGAAAAGTAGCTCTGTGTGTATGTAAAATAAACACTATTTTTTTTGGAGACAGCCTCTCACTCTTGTTGCGCTGGCTAGAGTGCAGTGGCCTTATCATTGCTCACTGCAACCTCAAACTCCTGGGCTCAAGCGATCCTCCTGCCTCAGCCTCCTGGGTAGCTGGGACTGTAGGCGTGCACCACCACTAGTTTTCTATTTTTCATGTAGACAGTCTCACTCTTGCTCAGGCTAGTCTCAAATTCCTGAGTTTGTGCAATCGTCCTGCCTCCCGGAGTAGTACGATTACATGCAGGCTACAGCACCTGGTCCATAAACACTTTCTTTTTTCTTTTTTTTTTTTTGAGACAGGGTCTCACTTCATTGCCCGGGCTAGAGTGCCATGGCATCAGCCTAGCTCATAGCAACCTCAAACTCCTGGGGTCAAGGGATCCTCCTGCCTCAGCCTCCCAAGTAGCTGGGACTATAGACAAACACCATCATGCCCGGCTAATGTTTTCTATGCGTTTTGAGTTGTCCGACTAATTTCTATTTTTAGTAGAGACGGAGTCTTGCTCTTGCTCAGGCTGGTCTCGAACTCCTGACCTCGAGCCATCCTCCCACCTTGGCCTCCCAGAGTGCTAGGATTACAGGTGTGAGCCACTGTGCCCGGCCCATAAACACTTTCTTAAGGAATAGAATCTGGGGGAAAATCTGATCTAGATGTTAAGGTCTTTCCTTGTCTCTTAGCTGGTTTTGTTTATTATTCAACTGTTTTTAAATAATAATTGTGTTATTTATTTTTAGAGTCATTGTTCATTGACATGAAGTTAATTATTTAAAACAGGATTTTTTTTTTTTTTGAGAAAGAGTCTCACTCTTGCCCTGGCTAGAGTGAGTGCCGTGGCGTAAGCCTAGCTCACAGCAACCTCAAACTCCTGGGTTTAGGCAATCCTCCTGCTTCAGCCTCCCAAGTAGCTGGGACTACAGGCATGTGCCACCATGCCCAACTAATTTTTTTTCTATATATTTTAAGTTGTCCAGCTAATTTCTGTCTATTTTTTTTTGGTAGAGACCAGGTCTCGCCCTTGCTCAGGCTGGTGTCGAACTCCTGAGCTCAAATGATTCGCCCACCTCGGCCTCCCAGAGTGCTGGGATTACAGCCATGAGCCACCACACCCAACCTCTTGGTCACTTTTTGTTCTAAAAATGTTTTAGGTATGAAGGGAACCAACTGTGTTTAAGAAGTGTATTTTACCAAAGTAGTTTTTCTAATCATGCTGATTTGTTTCAAATTGTATAATTTTTGGCAGTAATTTTATCTAATTCCATTTATAGTCCAGTTACAACACAGGGATCACAACAAACACAGCCGCCACAGAAGCACTATGGCATTACTTCTCCTATCAGCTTAGCAGCCCCCAAGGAGACTGACTGCATACTTACACAGAAACTAATTGAGACTCTGAAGCCCTTTGGGGTTTTTGAAGAGGAAGAGGAACTGCAGCGCAGGTAAATATGATGTATATGTTTTTTATTTTTATTGATTGATTGATTGACAGAGTCTTGCTCGGTTGCCCAGGCTAGAGTGCTGTGGTGTCAGCCTAGCTCACAGCAGCTTCAAACTCCTGGGCTCAAGCAGTCCTCCTGCCTCAGCCTCCTGAGTAACTGGGACTACAGGGGCACACCACCGTGCCCGGCTAATTTTTTCTGTTTTTAGTAGAGACTGGGTCTCCCTCTTGCTCAGGCTGGTCTTGAACTCTCGAGCTCAAGAGAGCCTCCCGCCTTGGCCTCCTAGAGTGCTAGGATTACAGGTGTGAGCCACCTTGCCTGGTCCCCTTTTTTCCCTTCTGTTTTCCCCCTCCCCCCCTGTTTTTTAAATTTTTAAGTTTTTATTAATGTTGAAATAAACTAATTTTGAGATATCATCTACTCAGGGTTATTCTCCCAAATCTATATGTCTTCTACTCAGAGTTATTCTCCCAAATCTATATGTCTGTTTCAGACAAGAGTGATACTTAGGAGAGAAAACTTTTTTCTACATGAAGTTCTACTCCCTTAATTATTATTATTATTATATATTTTTTTGATGCTTTCAGTTAAAGTACTGAATTGTCAGGAGAAAAGGGAATGCCTTACCCAGTGTTAACAGTGCCTACGTATAGCTAACTATATACTTGTTTTTGATCACTTAAAAATTAAAATTTAGGAAGCCAACTATTTAAAACATTTTCTTTCACTTAATCAGTAATGACCTGGAATAATAAACAGCTTGATACTTGATTGATAATTGCTTTATCAACAGGATTTTAATTTTGGGAAAATTAAATAACCTGGTAAAAGAGTGGATACGGGAAATCAGTGAAAGCAAGGTAAGGTGTCTTTTTTATATATGAAATAATTTGCCGTATATAGCCAACCGAGCACAACAAGTATCTTACGTAACTTGTTCTTATTTGAGTGGATTTAGAGTCTTGAATGTGGAGTCCTGTTTAGACTGTTGGTAACAGATTTTATATTTTGTTTCTAGTTATTTTGAAAGCAAGAACTCATCTGAATGTAGTGATTTTTAAGTGTAGTACTCTTTGGTTGCAAAATTTCAAAGCTGCAACTTAATAATTGTGAACTACTTACACTCTTCACAGAAATAATAGATGTTTCTTTGAAAAAGTACTTTAAAAATGTTTAATATCTTTGAAGAATGTTGTTACCTTTTAAAGAATCCTACAACAATGAGCTTTGTCTAGGTTTTTAAGTATTAGACTCTCAAACTAAATATTTGTTTATTTAGTTCTTTATGATACTGTTCTCCAAATTTCTAACAACTTTTTTTATGAATACTCATACACAACTCATGAATCCATGGCTAGTAAAAGAAATGTATTCTTAAGAGTTATATGTGGAATTCATTTAACCGATTTTTAAAAAATACCATAAGTGGTAATTTTTGGGGGGTAGTACAAAATACGTGTTTAATCTGTAATACAACTGAAAAATTGATGGAAAGAGAACCAAGTGTAGAAGAAAACCTCAAAGGGTGGGGAGAGAGGGTGTCAACCTAAAGGAAAAGTTATAGTCTTTTGGTTTTAGTCAGACTTATGATATTTTATTAAAACAATGTGTATATATTGTCAAACAACTGATTAAACTTTAGCAACTGGAGTATTCTAAATTATGGACGTTATGTACTACATGTTTCTTATTGATAGACTTTGTGATAGAAAATGAAATTTTGGAACGGACATTTTTTTGAGCTTAGCAAAAGATGTCTAAGCTTAAGTATTTTTTAATCATTTATTGAACTTGGTTGTAACCTTGGGTGAGAAATGTAACGTAGCTGTTTTAAGGGCCTTTTCTTAGGTGTTTAGTTTTAACTTTAAAATCCTAGTCAAGTACACAAGGCCAGAGCTTAAATTTTTTTAATGTGAAACCAGATTACTGTCTCTCAGACAGTTTCATTTCAGATTTGAGTGCTTGGTATGTTCCTTGAACTGATGATTCTTTTCTTTCTTTCTTTCTTTTTTTTTGTTTTTTTGAGACGGTCTCGTTCTGTTGCCCGGGCTAGAGTGCCATGGTGTCAGCCTATCTCACAACAACCTCAAACTCTTGGGCTCAAGCAATCCTCCTGCCTCATCCTCCCGAGTAGCTGGGACTACAGGGGTGCACCACCACGCCCAGCTAATTTTTTCTATTTTAGTAGAGATGGAGTCTAACTCTTGGCTCAGGCTGGTCTTGAACTCCTGACCTCAAGCTATCCTCCTACCTGGGCCTCCCATAGTGCTAAGATTACAGGCGTGAGCCACTGCGTCCGGCCAGTAATTCTTTGCTGGTTTTCCTGAAGATAAGGAAAATTGCTTAGATTAACAGCATTAATGCTCAGTGCTATTCAAATTTGTATATGTCCTTTTTTGTGCTGAGGCAGTCTCAGTGACGCTGTTGTAGCTCACTGCAACCTCTGACTCCTGGGCTTAAGTGATCCTTCTGCCTCATCCTCCCGAGTAGCTGGGACTACGGCAGCTGCCACAACACCAAGCTGATATTTTTCTATTTTTGGTAGAGATGGGGTCTCACTCTTCTCAGGCTGATTTGGAACTCCTGAGCTCAAGCAATCCTCCCACCTCGGCCTCCTAGAGTGCTAGGATTACAGGCATGAGCCACTGCGCCCGGCCTGTCTTTGGGGTTTTTATACTATGAAGTAAGACTTCATTTATGTTGTTTTTGAGGGAGAGAAAGATGTGGTCTCTTACATGTTTCGGTACTGAATAGAGACTTTAGTATTGGTATACTGAGGAATTAGAAGGTAAAAGAAAATAATGACCACTCATTAAAATTGTTTTTTTGTTTCGACAGGCATCGTTCTTATGACCAGGGCCATTAAGTACCCAGCTTAGTAATTTACGGTAGTTCCAGGGCCAGGAAGGCAAGTTTTGAATACTTTGCTTTCTCTCTCTTACTGATGGTTCTACTCTTTCTGAGTAAGAAACCATTTGTAAGTTTAGTTCTTTTTAAAATAACCCCACCAAAGCCTTTTGGAAATTTAAAAGACTAAACTATTACTGAGCAATAATGGCTTTCAAGTCACTTTTGATATGATAAAATTATACTCTAATGTGCTGTGGGATATATGGTATAATCATTAAACATCTTTTTCTCTAGGCAATTAGAACATGTTAATTCTAACATTCATGGCTTATTTTATGCAACATCTTTGTCATGGGTAAAGTCCCTGATTAAAACATTACTCCTGGCTGGGCGCGGTGGCTCACGCCTGTAATCCTAGCACTCTGGGAGCCCGAGGTGGGAGGATTGTTTGAGCTCAGGAGTTCGGGACCAGCCTGAGCAAGAGTGAGACCCTGTCTCTACTAAAAATAGAAAGAAATTAGCCGAACAACTAAAAATATATAGAAAAAATTAGCCAGGTATGGTGGCGCATGCCTGTAGTCCCAGCTACTCGGGAGGCTGAGGCAGAAGGATTGCTTGAGCCCAGGAGTTTGAGGTTGCTGTGAGCTGGGCTGACGCCACGGCACTCTAGCCCAGGCAACAGAGTGAGACTCTGTCTCAAAAAAAAAAAACAAACATTACTCCTGTGGGATTACAGATCTCCTCTACCTGAAATAGCAGTTTCCTGAAATATGGCAAAATTCTAAAATAGTACTTGTGTCGTCCCTAAAGAACACGTCCTTAAAATTTCAAAATTGCTTGAATTGCAAATTAGATATGAGGGGCTAGTGTATTTTTAGAACTTAGAGTTCGAATGCCCTCTATATAAATTTGCACTGTAATCTTGGGTTTTTTGTTTTTTGGTTTTTTTTTTTTAAGAAATACAGTATTATTTTAAATAGTTCCCCTGTGCTCCATTGGCAAAATAACCATTATTTGTTTGCTTCAACAGAATCTTCCACAATCTGTAATTGAAAATGTTGGAGGCAAAATTTTTACCTTTGGATCTTACAGATTAGGAGTACATACGAAAGGTAAGTATTGTTTTATTTATCTTGGGAAGAGATAATTTTTTATTAAATATTATAACAACATTCCCATCTCATTTACTTGTGTATCGTATAGCTTAGTTTGACATGGAAGAGAGAGTACTTCAAGGAGTCTAAATTTGTTAGGAGAGAAATAATATGATGCCACTTTCTATACCTGCACTGTCCAAAAGCAATATTAAAATCAAGTAAAATTAAAAATTAAATTCCTTAGTAGAGGTAGTCACATTTTATATATTTAATAGCCACATATGAGTAGTGGTTACTGCATTGGAAAGTACAGGTAAAGAAATAGAACATTTTTCCCATTGGAAAATACATTGGACAGTGCCACTATCTGTACGTCATTTCCTACCAGAAGAATATCGCTCTGGAAATCAGAACAAAAATGAATTAAAGCTTTTAAGAAAGCTTTATGGATTTTCCCCCATTCCTTTATATACAAATTGTGAAATATAGGCAAGCAAAAAACAAACCAAAAAAAGTGTATCCATAGCTGTTGATAATCACTGAATGTGCTCTTATTTACACTTGTTATTTTCTCCATGCAAATAAATACATAATAAAAAATATACAAAGAACATTTATTGAGCACTTTCCCTTTACCAGGCACTGAGCTCTTGATCTTCATCATCTTATTTATTCCTCACGGTACTTTTATTTTCCGATAACAAATAGGAGTCTGAGACTTAAAGAGGCAATAAAGCTTGAATAGTTTCTCTCAGCCATCTAATGGCAGAGCCAGTAGAACTCAGGCAGTCTGAGGCTGTACTCGTTACCCATTAACCACTGTTTTAAAAGTATCTGCTATTATAGTGTTTTCTGTGTTCTGGTGTCCATCCTTCTCCCCAGCTTCCATTATTCTGTCCCATTAGTGGTACATTTGCTTTTGATATGTCCTGTGCACTGTACACTCTTCTTCCCCTTCATTAGTATTCTAAATAACTAGCCTTCAGAGTAGTGCTTGAGCACCTTGTCTTTTGATTATGTTGACCTGATTCCATATTTATCTCTCCCTTTTATGATCCCAATTAATTGATTTTAATTCTCCTTTTTGTATTCTTCCTGTGTATTCATTGCTGTCTTCATATCAAGTGCTAAATTAATGACAGCTGTCTTACCATGGTCTGCCTCTTTGAATTCTTGTCACTGGTCCTTTCTGAATTTTTTTCTGTAGGTACCATTTAGGGGTCAGTTAGGGACCCTATAAGTAAAAGTCATCTAGTGTATAAAGGAAAACTATTTTTTTGTTTATCTAACGAATAAGGCGATGAGTAATGACATCAGGATTTTGGATGTGTGCTTGAATAATTCCTTCTCCACTATGAAAGTACTGTCTGAGTCACCTTTCTTTGGACTCCCAGTTTACTCAGGTCACTATAAATATAGGATGCTGCAGGAAAAAACAGACCCCATCATTTAAAATCATGCTTTTCCTCTGTTGTATGGTAATTTTTATTAAAGGGTGGTGCATTTTTAGAGGCTCACCAGTATAATAATATACAGTTTCTCAACATCAAATACTGCCATGATAAGATGCAAAATAATTTTCTTATAATATTAATTAGTGGTTGATGGGCTTAATTTTTTTTAGGTGCTGATATTGATGCGTTGTGTGTTGCACCAAGACATGTTGATCGAAGTGACTTTTTCACCTCATTCTATGATAAGTTGAAATTACAGGAAGAAGTAAAAGATTTAAGAGTGCGTAAATGTTTGGGGTGAAAGGGGAGGAGTTATAAAATTTATTTAGTCATTTGAGTGAATTTTATGGTATAACCATCATTTATTGAGCTGTTGTAATTTGCCAGACCCTTCTAAGGACTTAATGTGTGTGTTCTCATTCTTTAAAACAAGCCTAAAATCATAAACTCATTTACAGATTAGGAATTTCAGGCAAACAAAATAAATATAAAGTCGTCTGGCTATAGTCACACATTTGATGAGTGGCAGAAATCAAGAATTTGAACCTTGATTTCTGGTCTGATTTCAGAGCCTAGTATTTTTAAGCTAGTTACTGAGAATGTATTTTTGTGTCAGGTATTATGCTAAATTATGTTTAAACAATTTAAAGTATCACATTCATTTAAAAGTACTAAACCTAGTAGAGGCCTAATGTGTAGTTTCAGAGACACTAAATTTGTTTATTTTTCCTACAGGCTGTTGAAGAGGCATTTGTACCAGTTATCAAACTCTGTTTTGATGGGATAGAGGTAAGGGGTAGTTTAAATTGACAGTTCTGGCTATGTGGTGTTACTAATTTTGATTGATGTAGGGCAAAAACTTGGTTTATTTAAAGTTTATAATTAGTCAGTTGGGTTGTGGTTAATAACAAGGTTTTTTAATGGAAATGACTGTTCTTTGTAGAAATACCATTTTTAGTCTTTTTAGAAAACACCAATTGAAATTTGAAGCTAAAATAGAAGTAACAAAACTTTAGACTGAACTGCTATTACAAAACAGCTTTCTTGATAGTTTTTCCATATGCAAATTTTGTGTAGTTTTGGTCTCAGTAAAGCAATAACATAATATATTTTTGCCTTAACTTCATTTAAAAGTTGGGAGAAAAGTGTACACTGATAGTACGTGTGCTGAAATATTTCTGATGGGAAGATTTATGATGTTAAATTGCTGAGATGATGTACATTTCTCCTTGCTGCTTTCAGACTGTGTTTTCAAAGTAATTGGAACAAAGCTGGTAGTGAAACAACTTTATGTTTCTTTTCCTGTACATAATGGTGCTGGAAAGTCACTGATAGTAATAGCGAAGATTATAAAGTTGTGGAAATTGGAAGAATAATAATTTGCTGTTTTGCAAAAGAAAGAAAAGGTGGTTTCTAGGATTGCTGCATAAGATGCTCACCTGTGTCTTTTATGAAAAGTCAAATGATTGACCTTAGTAAGTAGATATTAAACGTTAAAATTGATAAAGGATTATCAAGTTCCTATAGTTTTGACTTAAATAATGTTTAAATAAATGTAAAATAATTTGTGCTATAAAGTATAAGGTGATGCCTCATTTTCCCAGAAAGAACATTACTGATATAGAGGAAATTTTTTTGTTAGAAGACCCAGTTCAACTTAGTAAACTTTACAGGATGGAGATGCTAGTCATAGCTACTTAAAAATATTTAATGTGTTAGTTTCCTACCATATGTGCTATACAAAATAACAGTATTTTAGAAAATAACTATTTTAAGAAAATACTACTTTAGGAAATTTTAAAATGATTTTGTCTTAAAATTTTTTTAATATCACTGACTTGCTGTTTGTGTTACCTAGTTTTATGAGCATTTAATTTTTATTTCTGTCTAAATTGAGGAATATACTAGACTTTGAAATCTGTTTAATTGAAAACATTCTACATTCTAAGTACTTATTTCTATAATTGTACAGTTTTTTTCTTCTATCATGTAGATGTACGTTTAAATGATTTTCATTATATGCTCTGAAGATACTGCTTTTTAAAGTGATTTTGTAAATTTATAAAAGGCTTATTTATATAACAACATCCAAATTAGAACCATGAAATCATACTCTCAGAAATAACTGCCAAATCTGTGTTGAGTTTCTTTGCCCTCTCACCTTTCTTTTTAAAAAGAAAAATGATTTTGTCAGTTGAATTCTATAAGACTTCTAAATTAGCCTCAACTCTGGCTGTTACAGGTTGTGCTTTTAACAGTGTTTTTGTTTTGTTGTTTCTTTCTATTCAAAACTAAATTGATGCTGTTTTAAGTTAAGTTCTGGGGGGAAAAACAAACAACAAAAAAACTAAGTTGGAAAAACATACTGTAGTATTATAGACATGTAAGTTCTCATATAAGGAGATCTTTTTTACTGAAAGGTAATTTTGGGCTAAATATAAGGATATTTGCCATATATTTGGGTACTATTTAGCATATAATCAATTTAATTCACGTAGAAGAACGAAACTGGAGGGTGAGGGCAGAGGGAGGGAAATAAAAGAACTAAACTGTTCATTTTAAGTAATTCAGTATATGCATTTAGCAAACTTCATAAATCAAGCTAAGTATGATTAAAATGACAGGTATGTGTTCAAGTTCCATTTTATATTACCGTGTTTTAACATTATCTGATTAAAATACCTGTGATAGGAATTAATATAGTTTAGGCTTTTGGGAGGGGTGTTGTCATGTTCATAATTGATGAGAAGATTCTGGCTTTAAGGAGAATTTTTTTTTTTTTTTAAATGGAAATGCCTTAAAAGTGGCTTGACAGATATGGAATATTAAGTTTTGTTTTTATTTTAGATTGATATTTTGTTTGCAAGATTAGCACTGCAGACTATTCCAGAAGATTTGGATCTACGAGATGACAGTCTGCTTAAAAATTTAGATATAAGATGCATACGAAGTCTTAACGGTATGTCAAAGCTTACTTCCTTTTGTATAGTTGCACTTTTTATCATGTATTAAGTAGTTGTTTTTACCTCAAGTTTTGTAATAGAGCTTTTAATGGCCATATTGTTAATCCATTGTGAATCAAATAAAATGTGCTTTACTTAAGAGACTACAGAGAAGTGTCTGATAGTTTATTTTGCTCATCAGTATCTTACACTGTTACCTCTTTTCTTCTGTCATTAATAGTACTTGCAACACTGAAAAAGACTGATGTTTGTACTCTATTGCTAGTGATTTAGGTTTCACTATGTAAGCCTAATTAATTTGATCCAGATACCCGTTTTATAATATTATCAGTTGTTGAAAAGGACTACTTTTGAACAATTTTATTTAACATAGCTTGTTACTGTGATCTTGAAGAAGAATTCTTGGAAACTTGAGTAGATTGAGCCCTCTTCGGTATTTCTGGACAGGAAAGTTTTGGTTATGGGTCTAAAGTTTGAGATTAGGTGGGTTATAGTTCATTTTCTTTGGTTTAGGGCAGTGCTTATGATAGAAAATAAATGTTTTAGATTTTTTTTTTTTGCCTCTTAGGGAGTTAACGTTACTGATTCTACCAAGTAAAAATTTTTATTTAATTTTGATGTCAATCTCAGAAAATTTAGAAGTATTATTAAATTTTTGATGATTTAATGTTCTATTTTTTTCACCCCTGTTAATCAGGTAGCAGGGTAACCGATGAAATTTTACATCTAGTACCAAACATTGACAACTTCAGGTTAACTCTGAGAGCTATCAAACTATGGGCCAAACGTGAGTAAATTATGTTTAAACAATTTAAAGTATCACATTCATTTAAAAGTACTAAACCTAGTAGAGGCCTAATGTGTAGTTTCAGAGACACTAAATTTGTTTATTTTTCCTACAGGCTGTTGAAGAGGCATTTGTACCAGTTATCAAACTCTGTTTTGATGGGATAGAGGTAAGGGGTAGTTTAAATTGACAGTTCTGGCTATGTGGTGTTACTAATTTTGATTGATGTAGGGCAAAAACTTGGTTTATTTAAAGTTTATAATTAGTCAGTTGGGTTGTGGTTAATAACAAGGTTTTTTAATGGAAATGACTGTTCTTTGTAGAAATACCATTTTTAGTCTTTTTAGAAAACACCAATTGAAATTTGAAGCTAAAATAGAAGTAACAAAACTTTAGACTGAACTGCTATTACAAAACAGCTTTCTTGATAGTTTTTCCATATGCAAATTTTGTGTAGTTTTGGTCTCAGTAAAGCAATAACATAATATATTTTTGCCTTAACTTCATTTAAAAGTTGGGAGAAAAGTGTACACTGATAGTACGTGTGCTGAAATATTTCTGATGGGAAGATTTATGATGTTAAATTGCTGAGATGATGTACATTTCTCCTTGCTGCTTTCAGACTGTGTTTTCAAAGTAATTGGAACAAAGCTGGTAGTGAAACAACTTTATGTTTCTTTTCCTGTACATAATGGTGCTGGAAAGTCACTGATAGTAATAGCGAAGATTATAAAGTTGTGGAAATTGGAAGAATAATAATTTGCTGTTTTGCAAAAGAAAGAAAAGGTGGTTTCTAGGATTGCTGCATAAGATGCTCACCTGTGTCTTTTATGAAAAGTCAAATGATTGACCTTAGTAAGTAGATATTAAACGTTAAAATTGATAAAGGATTATCAAGTTCCTATAGTTTTGACTTAAATAATGTTTAAATAAATGTAAAATAATTTGTGCTATAAAGTATAAGGTGATGCCTCATTTTCCCAGAAAGAACATTACTGATATAGAGGAAATTTTTTTGTTAGAAGACCCAGTTCAACTTAGTAAACTTTACAGGATGGAGATGCTAGTCATAGCTACTTAAAAATATTTAATGTGTTAGTTTCCTACCATATGTGCTATACAAAATAACAGTATTTTAGAAAATAACTATTTTAAGAAAATACTACTTTAGGAAATTTTAAAATGATTTTGTCTTAAAATTTTTTTAATATCACTGACT